AAATTTCCTCTGTTCTGGGGATTGGAGTACAGAATCTTTAGTAAGTTTATTTCCTCAATTTGAAGCAATAAGAACCTTTTCATCACATCTTCACTGAAGAGGCCATAGTAAATCTAAGAAGTTATATTTTAATTTTCAAGCCCAAAATTGTGGGATTAAGTAATAGAATGAAATGTTTTCTATGAAATGCAATATATTATGAAATTAGTACAGTTAGAGATGATTTGGACCAAACTAGGCTGATATTATCTTGTCTGTTACACGTTTCACCCTCAATAAAAGAGGCAGAATAGAAATTCACATTTCGTCTAGAGAAGGTTGCGATCGACTTTCAAACAAGTTTTAGTTTTAACTCAAAATTGGTTCAGACGAATAACCTTAAAAGGCATCTTCTCCATTACTCTTTCATAGTAGGATAAAGCTTCCTTAAGCTTCCCAGAATCCATCAATGAGTCACCATCCTTCAATGCCTGTAATTATAAAAACCAGCTCAGGAGAATGGTCCTTTGGGTACTTAATACTTATAGTCCAATTGCAAGTAAAATATATATACACACATCCAGATCGGCTTGCTTCAGGAATCAAGTGAATTTCCTTTCATTTTTAACAGGTTGCTTATTAAAATTATTCTTGTAACATCAAATCTCAGGAGACAGTCTATGGATGAATTCAGTCTATTATCAATGACTAATATTGACTAAGAGAAAAGTTTAACTTAAAAAAATAAGGAAACATCACATTCTATGAAACTTGTTAAGACTAAAATTGTGGTTCGACAATAACTTTGAAGGAAGCAAGAACGTTTACTTAGTTTGAGTACCTTGTCACATTCGGATCTTAGCTTTGGGTCAACATTTAATCCAACCTTCTTCTTGTAAGCAGCAAGCAATTGTCTCGTGCGTTCATTTTTAGCATTCCAATCTTCTTCTGTTTCTAGCAGTTCCCTAGGTCAAATAGTCCTTCCACCACCAAACTAAAACCATTAAATCATGTCAGAAATGCTTTTTGAGAGGCATGAGAGAACATGACAAAGCCACCATGTAATCCTATAATCAATCCATATCTAGAATTGAAGCTTTTGCAATTTAAAACACTTTCCATTAGTCATATTGGTACACCTATTAGATGAAAAATAAAAATGCAACTTCCCAGCTGCTGAGCAGCTACAGTCGGGTCTTGAAGAAGTTGTTAAACCGGACAATCTTGGCTCACTTTTCCTCACATTATATAGCAGTAAAATTTATTTTTATCATCTTAAGAAGGTAAAATATCTGTTATGTCAAGTCCAATATGTAAAGCAGTGACTAATATGTACTAAAATACAATAATTTTTCGGGCTTTCTGCTTCATTCTGAACCCTGGAACCAAGAAACTAGGATATAATAACAAGATCGTGGAGAACTGAAAAGCAATTCTTAGGAACTTCATAGATACACATACACGTAAACATGCTCATGCAACATCCTGTGCATTTAGGAAGACACTTATCAATTAGCATCATAGTGGAAGATATCCATTTAACGTTTATTTGTTCAGCACACAGCAGAAAATTTATATTTTCCAATAATGATCAGTTCCAACTCTCACTATAATTCCAACAATTGCTTCTCTCAATGATTAAAAGAAAATTGATCATCTCTATGGGATCAATAGGTGAGTTTTACCAGCAACATCAGATGCATCAGGCTAAATGGCTAATTTGTTTGTTCTCCAGAAACTAGTAGGAATCTGTGTGTTTGACACATTCCACTACAATAAGTTATCCAATCAAATGAACAGATCTGTTTTACTCCGTGAGACTACTGATAGCCTAAAGGTCGGATTTTGAGAAAGACACACAATGATTCTTCTACAAAACAAGTAATTTGTTTGCCATCTTACCGTCTTGGAGATGTTGCCGCGCCTAGGGAAGACTCCCCATGTTGAGACCTTTGGCTTGTAAACTGAGTCTTCTTCCGTGTTTTGCTTCACATCAGGTGTTGTTGCTTCCTCAAATTTGCTGGTGTCCCCAACAATAATCTCTACATCAGGCAAGTCACCTTCTGGAAAAGGGTCAGAAATTGGAACCAGCCCAGGGGGTAGTCCTCTGCTCTTTTTCTTATCAGCAAAATCAAGCCCTACAAAGTCAATGCTTGATACCGATAACTGCTTCTGAATCTTCTTTTCCAGAATATTTCTTTGCTGTGGAGATTCCTCACTCCCAGTTTTCTTGATTGATAAAAATCAGTTCCCACCAAGTACAAATTATCAGCACACAACATGACAACATATTTCAAAGGACGACCTTTCATCAACTGTATGATTTTCCTAGTCATATGTAATATATTGCACGTAAAATGTGACCATTTAGATTTGGAAAAAATGTTTATTGGTGTACATAAAATGAAAAAGCATTCCAAGTTTTTTGGACTTCACCCATCAGTTAGAAAGAAAGAAGAAACAACAGATAAATACAACAATTTTCTCTAAGCTCCCCAGGCTCTTGCAATCCTCATTCGTAATCATAACATGGAAGAAAATTTATATGATTTATGTTCTCATTTCGCAGAAGTTTGGTTTTTGGTTTTCTTGGGAACCAGAGAATAATTCTGAACCAAATGAAGGAAAATAAAGCCATTATCCCCATATAGAAAAAGTCAAGAATTCTCAAGTCTTACCAGAAGCAATCGTGGGCTCACTTTCATTCTCCTTGTACTCGCTTGCCATTTCCATTGCAACCATAACTCCATCAGTGTTTTTACCATCTCCACCTGAATCCCCTCCAGGGTTCACTTTAGTTTTCTTATAGGATTTAGCCCTTTGAAAAGCAAGCTTGATAGGTTCTACAGTGCAGTTTCTTCCGAGCTGGCTGAGCTGGATTTGGAAGCTTCATCGCTCTGACTCTGGGAGAAGGAAAGTTTGAAAAGAGAGTTCTTGTGATGGTTTGTGGGAAGGAAGAGAGCCGTGGATTTGAGAGAAGAAAGCCATGAACGTTGAAGTGCAGCCATTGGTTAGTTGGATAAGGGCAGGGATAACGTGGATGTTAAAAGCGGCAGAAGGAAAACTCGTGTCAATTCCTGTGTTCTATGACTCATGTATCATTTGGGTTAGTAACAGCGAGTAATTTTGGTCATTTTTACGACAAGGATTCACGTTGCCCATCATCTCGATGGTTGTGGATAAATGATCTAAGTATATTGATTGAAACCCGAGTTGAATTTGTGGTGTTCCACAGAGGCATTGTTCTTCCTAGCTTGCTGCCATACTTGTACAATTATAAGATCACCTGCACTTATAATGACAAAAAATGCGCCCCATCCTGAGCCACTCCCATCTAGGATCACCTGCACTTATAAGGTGTAAATGTACTGATTCACCAAATTCAACTCATAATTGCCCTAGGAAAGCAGTAGTTATGATGCTATTGGAGGAGATACAACAACCAGAGATTTGAGAAAACAAAACAGTATGTGAAGATGAAAGCCTCTGTAATCCATTTACTTCGCAACTAACTGAGCTAATGACTAACCTCAGATGTGAATCATCTTGTCTTTACTGTATTTTGAGGTTCCTAATAACTACCAAATATTCAAAGAGGAGCCTATAACTCGAGATTCCATCTGTTTTGCACTGACACCTTTGTCTCATCGATTGATTCAACAAGACAAAAGTGCTCATGTCCTTGAGAGTGGGAATTCACCATTTGAGTAGCACATGAGAAGGATGAACGTAGCTATGAGAAGCTGAACCCCGGCCATAGCAGACTTATTGATGTCTGCCATATTGAAGGATGCCCAAAAGTGTTTGATGGCCTTTAAAGTTTGGTTTATGTTGGTGGAGTAAATGGAACCGCTTTGAGTATGTTGGTTAAGGCTTTCCCTTGGATTCACAGAGTCAACTTTGATCTTCCTCATGTTGTTGCCATCGCACTGAAAGTCGATGGCATCAAACACGTCAGAAGCGACATGTTCGAGTGTGTCCCAAATGCAGACGCTGTTTTCCTTATGGTAGGTATGAGAACTTTGGTTCCTTCAATTCAGCATCACGATACACAAATCTCTCTGCATATATGTGTATATTTCTGAATTGCATAAGCTCTTGCATGACTGGGCTGATGAGGAGTGCATAAAAATCCTAACGAAATGCAGAGAAGCTATCCCCTGAGAGAAAGGGTAGGTTATAATGGTTCAATCTGTGGTCGAAGAAGATAAATATGAGAAGCTAGAGTTTGTGAGGTTGATGTTGGACATGATGATGATGGCACATACTAGCAAAGGCAAAGAAAGGACATTAAAGCAATGGGAGTATGTTCTTGGTGAGGCAGATTCACCAGATACAATGTAAAACGCATCCGAGCAGTGCAATCCGTCATTGAAGCTTATGCTTAAAAGTCTCCATATGGTTCTTTTACCAAAAAATCTTAAGAACCTGTTGTGTTTTTTATTGGTCAGACCAAATAAGACCTATTGTTGTTCTGTTTTAGTAGTTTGGCCTTTTGATTGCCTTCAAACTTTATGTAATGCTCTCAAAGGAATCTGAAATAATTAGGCTTTTTATTAAGATTAGACGAACATAGTTTGAGCCTGAGGTTACATTATGGTCAATTGTTATGACTATCAAAAGGACATATTTTACTTTTACCTTCCAAAAATGTTTCTATCACAACAGCGTATTTTTCTTTCTGTTCGCTTCTGTGTTTTTATGCATTTGTCATAGATGGTCAAGGGCTCAAGGCCGGCCTTGTTATACTTTAATCCAGATAATGCTGTTCATCTATACATTATATATTTCCTGCTTTGAATGTTAAATGAATGCGTAAGATATTGTTAATTGCATCTGCTAGGCTTGTTCCATCCCCCTCTAGTCATCAACCGAATGTCGTCGAGTTCAGGAATTATATCTACTGGTAAGTTTTCCATTTTTCTCCAGTATGCTGCTGCTTCGACTTTATTCCTTCTCCATCCATGTCTGATAAATTATGGATTTAGTAATGGTTTCCTTTGCTTTCTGCAGTGATCGTAATCATCATGATTCTCCTCATAATGATCGTTATTGGTTTAAGTAGAAGAGCTGCAGTTATTAGGAACAATTCTCACCTTGCCGAATTTCTGACGACGACTATGGATAAATTTCTCGATGACATGGCAAAGGAGAAGCCTATCAGGTTCACTTCTCAGCAGCTAAGGACTGCAACTGATAATTTCACCAATCTGTTGGGTTCGGGGGGCTTTGGAGCAGTATACAAGGGAGTTTTCAATAACGAAACCACTGTTGCTGTTAAGGTTTTAAATGGGACCTCCGATAAAAGAATCGAACAGCAATTCATGGCGGAAGTCGGTACAATCGGTAGAGTTCATCACTTTAATCTCGTTCGACTCTATGGCTTCTGCTTCGATAGAAACCTGAGGGCCCTGGTTTACGAGTACATGATGAACGGCTCGCTCGACAAGTTTTTATTCGGCGAAAAAAAGATGTTATTAGGATTCGAAAAGCTTCATGAAATCGCAATAGGCACGGCGAAAGGGATTGCTTATTTGCATGAGGAATGCCAACACCGAATTATTCACTATGACATAAAGCCCGGAAACATTCTCCTAGATGCAAACTTCTCTCCCAAGGTATCTGATTTCGGTTTGGCCAAGCTCTGCAATAGGGAAAATACTCACATAACCATGACAGGCGGTCGGGGTACACCGGGGTATGCTGCGCCCGAACTTTGGATGCCTTATCCCGTAACCCATAAGTGCGACGTTTATAGCTTCGGAATGCTACTGTTCGAAATCATTGGTAGGAGAAGGAACCTCGACACCGAACGTCCAGAGAGCCAAGAATGGTTCCCAAGATGGGTGTGGAGCAATATCGAGAATGGAGGTCTCGGACAGTTAATGGAAGTATGCGATATTGACGAAAAAAATCGAGAGATGACGGAGAGAACAATCAAGATAGCTTTATGGTGTGTCCAGTATAGACCGGAGCTGAGGCCATCGATGAGCATGGTGGTTAAAATGTTAGAAGGAGCAGTAGAAATCACTGCACCTTCAAATCCATTTGGACATTTACTGGTGGAGACTCAGATTCCCAGCAATTCTGTTTCTGCAAATACAACATGGACTGATGAGCCAGCTGATTCCAAATCCACCATGAAAAATGATGAGATTGAAGCCGCATTCACTTGTGCTTAGTACATTGTTTATGTACCACATACTTGCTGCACATTCTTTTCCCATAGATATTGAAGGAACGCTAAGTTGGTAATTTTTGTTCCCGAGTTGGTACCAATAACTAATTTGGTTTATTCTCTAAAAAAATATATTCAATTAGGTCATCAAATTTATCAGACATCGCGCAGCCGCGAATAAAATATTGTCAACAATAATATCATCCTTTGAACAGTCAACTAACAATCGTATTCTACAAGAGAGATGAAACCCATGTTTGATCAGAGTGTTACACATATATAAAATGATCTACGGCCAGACAAGGTCGACAGAAACCCTCAGCTCTTGTGGATCTTCCACTACAATCTCCGATTCATACATGGTGGCATCGTCGGCAGCAGTCGAAGAAGTAGAGGAGGAGGAGGGAGGTGGCGGTGTTGCAAAACCAAAGTTTGGTTCATGATGGCGAACGAGTTCAGACAAGAGAAGCCATGGAAACCAAAACCAACTGCTTATTTTCTCCGAAACAAACCGTGTTGCTTTGCTGCTACTTTAGAGACTCGATATGTTTGAAGGCTGGAAGGGGAACCACTATTTATTTATATCTGAAAACATGGAGACAGACGGAACAGGTGATGTTAATTACTGGGTGTGGCTCATAGTTTATGTCGCTACCTGTGGCTGTCTGGGTCGGCTTGGCATTAATTGGACCATCACGCCACCTGTTTTTCATTTTCCAGGGTTAAACTTTAGGCGGTTTTTTTTAATGTTGCTGTACTTTCCGCCGCTCTTTTGACTTTCCCATGGCCTTTTCCTCCAAAACCATGAGTCACACCCACTTGCCACCTGTTTGTTCAAGGCTGGTAATTGCGACGGCTGCTGTCTACCTACCGTATTTATTTTTGGGATAAATTACAAATTTGATAACTGAACTTTATTTACATTCCTATTTCACTCAGTGAACTTTAAATATTTTCAATTTCTTTAATAAACTTTATAAATTGGGTTTTTAATATATTATGGATAAACTACATAAGTAGTCATTGATGTTTAAGTAAGTTTTCCTTTTTCCTAATAATATTTCAAAACTAACAATTTAATCACTAATATTATTGATTTATTATAAATCGATCGCTCATCGCTAACATTTGTTGTTGGGGTGAAAAAATACTGATTAATGTGTTAAATGATTGACCTAGAGACCCTTTTTCCATGCAAGATCAAGGTTTCAAATAACGAAACGAAACATTATAACGATCGTTATTTTGCGATAGCACCGCCGTCTGAAATCAATATTGTCCAAAATAACGGTAATACGTGGAATCACACCAGTAACGATCTATAACAGCCGCAACTTAACAGGTAACGAATGATCGTGGCGATAACAACTTGATATTCTCGTTATTTTTCGTTATCAACAGTAAACTCAAAATAAAACTTCAAATTTTCTCTTAAATTTCATTGCACAAACTCAAAATCAAACAAAAAAAAGTCTTTTACTTTGAGAAGAAGTTCATATATTCAAGTAAGTAAAGTACTTGATTATTTTATCTTGCTTCTCGTTTTTCTTTTAGTGTAACATGCAGCAGGTAAGTGTTTTTTTTGAATTTTTTTTTGTAGGAATCAAGCTAGAAAGCAAAGTAAATTTAAGAACATGAAAAAAGAAGAAGACAGGGACGAATTTTAACAAAAAAAAAACCTCTATTACTCTCTAATTTCGCTCTATCTTACTGCCTCAGCCTCCCCTCTGCTCACGCACCATATAGAAGAAGAGGAGGAGGAGATTTAATAATTTTTATTATAATTATGTTTTAGGTTTTAAATAATTTTTTTGATTATTTTTAACGCTTTGGGTTTGGGTCAAAATAGACCCAATAAATTAATTATTACAAACTTATAGTGTTATGGGATTTTTTTTAAATAAATGACGGATTATTTTTAATTTTATGAGTTTAAAGTTATAATATGTTTATTTTGGTAAGTGAATAATAATGGGTAATTTATTTTTATTCATTTTAATTTTTTAGAGTTTTTCCTATGTTGACAATTTTATTTCTTTTAAATAATAATTTATTCATAATTACATCATTAATTAATTATTTTATCTTATCATTGAGTTTTTAAACTCTTCTATTTGGTTAAACTATACTCTATATATGTCATTTTCGCTTAAAAACATTCTAAATGTAACACCCCAATTTAGGGGCTAAATTTAAGGAATTATAAATCGGTGGATTTAATTGGTATTTTGAAAGAAACAGTGGATTAAATTGTAAAATTTCAAAGTTGGCAGACCGTTTTAAGAAGTGCAGGAAGTTCAGTGACTAAACTCATGGTTTACCCATTTTTATTCTGAGTTGAATTATAAATCCCCCATTCCCGTATGTTTTTTTGGAAAAATTTTCCAGTTTTTCCTCTTCATCAACCCCTCTTTGAACTCCGATTTACTCACCGTCCGACGTCCGATCGACGAACAGAAACTATCATCGTGTTCGTTGTTGATAGAGGAACAAAACCCTCAAACCTTTCGTCGTGAATCGTCGCCGTTCGACGTTAATTTCAGTCGAAAATATCATCGGTGATAAAGTCAATTTCAATTGGTTTTTCGTCGATTCACGACGATCCGATGATCCATTTACGACACCTCCCGCACCATCGTGTTCCTTGCATCGTTCCGAGTCCGCCGGTGTCATCCTTGGTCTCCGTCGACAGCGGCGCGTGAGGAGGTGAAGTGGTCAAAGTTTCCGATTTGTTGAAATCGAGCTCTCCGCCGTTCAAAATTGTGAACCGAGCTTTGTAAGTATCTCGAAATCGCTCAAAATAATTTTTAGGAATTTTTTCGGGAATTTTCTGACACCGTAGCATTGTTCACGCGCCCCCACGAGCCTCCACTGCGCGTGGGGAAGAAAAAAAAATGGCCGGTTTTGGAGCTATTTTGACCGGTTTGATTGGTTCCAACCCGACCTGTTGACCCGACCCGTTGACCGTTGACCATTGACCGATGTTGACCAAAGTTGACCAAAACTTTGACGGGCTTTGACCGGGCATTAAACGACCTTTGACTTTGACCGACTATACATATCCTGACATTTTTCGACGTTCCAAATCTGATTCCGCAGTCCGTTTTTTGAAATTCGGACCCGAAGGCCTCGAATTTGTCAGTCAAACCCGTTGACTATGATTTTGACCAAAAATTCCAAATTTTTGAAAAGTCATATTTTATGCTTTTGACATCCTGAATCCGAATCCGAAGTCCGTTTCGCCAAATTCGAACCCGGTAAGCTGTTTTTCACTGATTTATCATCTGATTCGATCTGTTTTTCAGAATTAAGCTTCGTTTTTTATATAATTTATGTTGGTATGAATCTGAGGAAAAATTGGAAGATGATTTCAAGATCGAAGGCGTTCGAATGGATTTTTATGGTCGATCAGTATTGCACAAAAATCGAGGTAATTTTTTACTACCTCTTTATGCTTTATAGAACATGTTGGTATTGGTAAATACATGAATGGAAATGTTTGGTCTCATATGTGTAATTAATGAAGATCTACACTTGATACGAATACGGTAGCAAGTAGGTAACTGAATTTGGCTCAGATGACTATTATAAGAGATTAAGGAATTGTTAGAATTAAATTACAAGTTTGTGATTGGTGATAAAGAAATCAGCCCTGGATTTGTAACTTATATTTTATATCATCAAAGGTTAAATGTTAAAGGTACTTGGATGGGAAATTATGAGAATACTTCGGTAGGGTAAAATTACGAAAATACCCTTATGTTGTAGGATGTCAAGAATTATCCCTGGAAGTTGGTTAATAACTCTGAAAGGATATATTGATCTGATATAATTACAAATGTGCATAAGAAATGATAGTTTTGTTTAGAAAATTTGGATAACTGGTTTTTATCGCCAAAAATGGTTTGTGCAAGATGCTAGAAGTTTGTTAAGGAATAATTTCAAGATCAGAGAATGTTCGGGAAAGTAATTAATCATAGGATCTCTAAATTATAATTATTTTCGTCAAGAGCTAATATTGAAATTATCTGGTTAAGAAATTACAAAAATGCCCTTGAGAGGTAAAATAGTCTGAGTTGACTCTGAATGGGAAAGTACTTTGAGGATTTGTACTTAACTCGATTAAGTACGAATTTAATTATTAAGATCATGTCTTTGTCAAGAAAAATTCATGATATTTCGTTTGTAAAATTTGAGAAGGCAGTTGACCCGAAAATATCTAAGTAATGAGTAAATACTTGAAGAATAATTTATCGGGGTATTCTGCTGTCAGAATTGTTCGAAAGGACTGAAATAAATAATAAGATTGAATTTAATAGTAAGATCAGACGAAAGAAAATGATTAAAATACACTGAATCTGTAAAATGACCTAAATACCCCTGTAATAGAAATGACCCGAGAATACCACCAAGCTCAGGAATGATTGGATATCCTCGAGCTCTGAAAATGAATAGAATAAAATTGAACACCAAAATTACCAAAATACCCTTATAGCCTATACTAAGTAAATGTCTTGGATTAATTAAGGAATCCAAATAAGCATAGTTATTGGACTACCTTTAAAAGTAATGGAACACAATTTAAGTGAGTAGATCAACCATAAAGCTATGTCAATACTTGAACGACATAGATATTACTGGAATGCGTGTTCGTCTTTTCAAATCTAGCTCGATGATAATTTTGGAAGTATTCAGCTCAACTCAACTCTAGATCACATTCAGTACTAAGAATTGGATATTTGTGACAAATCAACCACGAAGACTGAATTGAACGAAAGTACAATATGTATCTGAAATTCAAAAAATGTCCGATTTACTCTGGAAAACTCTTAAGTAACCGGGATAGACTTGACTTTTAAATGAAATAAGTAACCTCAATGACTGATGATTAAATAAGTGTTTTGGATGAGTCTGGAAACGTTAACGAACATACATAATGAAATGTTTTTTATGGGTCATGAACTATAAATCAAGCACGTCAGCATTTCATGATATTGTGGAAGCGTGAAAATGAAATAAAGAGCATTGGAATATCTATGGATAAGAATGTTAGGTATAAAAAAAAGAAATACCTAGAAGGACAAAGAATTGACCAGTCGATAAGCATTAGTTATGGGAATTATTCATATCGAGTAACTCATTAATCCGATCAATCGACAAAGATTGTAAAATTTTTGAATCGTTGTTCTCCCTTATCAGCTCAAATTAGTTAGGTTATATCTGAAAATATAAGAAGCTCAGATGTAAAGGATTCTGAATACCCTTTTGATTATGTAGAGCTTCCGAAAAATGTATGAATAAGATATGATCTCGATAAGTCTCAATCTGAATAACTTATGATTCTGTCAGTTATTGAACTCTTCCAATGGTGATTATAAATCCCAACATTCTATCGGTATACTGAAGATCCGTGTTTCTCTGCCTGATAAGATTATTATGTACTTCTGAATAATATCTGTAAACTCTGATGTGTTCCCTACCCACATGAATATTTTATCTGATTTCCAATTTCAATTATGTTCTAACATTTGATCTGAAATCTATTTTGGTTTCTGACCTGGATTCTGTTCTGATATATGATCTAAATTATGTTTTGTTTTCTGATATCTCCGTTTATTGACGATAAATTTTTATTTGGGGCTATTGTTGGAGGAAGTATATATATTCAGGTTCCTCGGCTTTATGCTCAGGGCCTTACTTGGTGTGTTGGTGGGTGTATGGTTCTGGGGAACCTACACATTATGGTGTGCTCGGTTGGAGGGATTACTATGGTTTTTGATAAATGTTTTATGGGAGGGTGTTGTTGGAGGAAGTTATCGTTACCGTTACTGCAGGCTCCTCTGCTTTGTGCTCAGGGCCTTACTTGGTGTGTTGGTGGTGTATGTTTCTGGGGAACCTACACATTATGGTGTGTTCGGTTGGAGGGATTAATATGGTTTTTGAATAAAAATATGTTTTGAACTGCCATTGTTTTAAAAGAAAAGATATGTATATTTTCACTGGTTTTGCGGGAACACACTAGACAACCTATTCCGATCTCCTGAACTCAAGCATTCAAAGTATTTATTTGAACTAAAAGCTTATTGTCCGTTAACATTTGAAATATCAGTAGGATCTCCAATCAGCATAAAAATCTGTAGATATTCGAAACCAATAAGGAAATATATGTTTATATGTATCTGCACGTTCTTCAGCATCATATGGTAGTTCTGTATTACTGAGCTTTCCAAAGCTCACTCTATTACTCATCTTTTCAGGTTAAAAGAATTGTACAAGTGCAACTATCGTCATCAGTAAGGGAGTTCTTCCGGTGCTGTTTGCAGAGTACGATACATGTGATTAGGGGGCATGTAATTGTATTTTGTTTTATATACGATTCTGAAAATCTGTTTTATTTTTAAATTGTGACAAATGACTTTATAAGTTTACATGTTCTGATAAAAAGTTTTAAATTTTCCGCTATTTTTACAGTGGGTCGCTCCGGTGGCCCTAATGTGACTTCCCGGATCGGATCGGGCTACCGGCATCGATCTGAGGGGGTTACACTAAAAATAATTAAAAACGACTCTTTAAAATTATAATTATAATTATCATATTTTAGGATAAGTTGTACAAATTTCAAAAAAAAATTATGACCGCGACACTCGTAGTGACCGCGATGATATCCGTAATCGAAAACGCGCTCGTGAGCGCTATTTAAATTCCTATACAAGATAGTCTTCCATAGTGACCATTTATGAACTCCCCTTCTTCTTAGTTTTTTTGAAAGATGGGTACTTTGTATTGAAGGTACAAGGTACACCACCTCATGGACCTCATTAAAAAACCTCCCTAGACCTAATTGGAGGAAAAAGAGTATACCATGAGGTAGAATAAAATGAAAGCCAGAGCTCTAAATTACACCAAACGATAAAGCACACCAATACGACCCTCGCAACAAGCTAGCCAAGCAAGAAAAAACTACACTGCCTGAACCAAACTACCATGAAACAACAAGCCTCAGCTTTCTCTAGCCACAAAAGGACCTAACGGGACACTAAACTGCAACTCCAACAGTTCCAGAACGGACTATCAGAAATAAATGGTGGAACCAGAATCTCTATAGCAACGAAGAGAACCCATCACAAAGCTCTACGAAATACTCCAAAAAATTAAGAAAGTAATACACAACTCCCCTTCTTTAAAGGCCCTCAATCTTTTAAATCTATTTTACCTATCAAAGTTTTAAATCATTTTTATAGGAATTTATCAGAAAATATTACTATAAGAGCTGATTTGATTGTTTGAAAGCTATTGTTGCTGGGAAATGATTGAATATTGTTCTTAAAGAAGACCTGCATTTTGTTTTACCTAAGACGGTACGATGAATCCATGAAATACAAGATCTTTACTTCAAATTCAACTATGCAATTCATCTTCCTTTTGTAGTCGGTGAAATGATTGATTCGCATGTTACAACAAAATATTGGAAGAATATCAAGGGTTGGTTAAAATGATAAGCAACTTGATATCGTTTAAGCAATATTTTAAGTTCGAATCCTTATGTATGTAAAAAATTCCCGCTAAAAAATTCACCCACTAAAATTATATGTGCTACCCCTAGAACTTTTATCTACAATCTTAGTGTGCTTCATGTTGCTTTTAAACTATTAATGATCATTCTGCATGCATTGCAACACAATATCCAAAAAGTGACTTTTTTTCTCCTTAGACGAATGAAACAAATGAAGGATCATCCAGCTCAGTTGGTAGAGCACAAGGTTCTTAACCTTGAGGTCGTGGGATCGAGTCCCACGGAGGGCATTTCATAATTCGGAGGTCTCTTATGGAAGCTGCTCTCAACCTGGTGTTGGGGGCAGCCTACTATCTTACCTCCCCCTTACCCCATACATATGGGAAAAAGGGACATCCATCCATTTTTTTCTATTATAAACTCTTGATTTTTCTCCTTTCTCTTAGTTAATATAAAAATACATACATATATATATATATATATATTATTTTTTTCATAAATTACATTAAACACATGTTAAAAATATAAAAGAGTCAAACGACCGATCTCTAATGACAAAAAGATATCTAAGTCAACTAGTTAATATGTCACGTCAACATTCTACCACTCCTAGTAACAACGGTTAATAGTGAGTGAGTAATTTATTATGAATTGATAATATTAATGACTAAATCATTAATTTTAAAATTTATTGGATAAAAGAAAATTTTTCTTAAATATAAGCGATCATTTATGTAGTTTACCCCTATATTATTTAGTGGGCTGAATACTCATGATATCTAAAACAATGCCCGGCCCACAAATACTAAATCAACCCACTCGACGTCGTCGTAGAAGAGAAACAAAATCATCTTTTACAAAACCCTTTTTGTTCTTCCCTTAGCCGAAACCTCGACAGCCGCAAAGCAGCCTAACAGAAACGAAAAATGGGAAAGAAAGCAAAAACCTCAAGGAAAGGGAAGAAGGCATGGAGAGCTAACATAAGCACTGAAGACATCCATGATTTCTTCGAGAAGTCCACGAAAGATTCCCTCTCTGGGGGTTCTCTTACTTCTGCTCTTACTGAATCCCTCTTTGTCATCGACAAGTCTAAAGGTCTTGTCTTTTACTCTTTACACCCATTTTTTCTTATTGAATTTCAGTTTCCTTAAATGGGTTTTCTGTGTTTTATCAGATCTTTCTGTCAAGAAGAAGATTGAGAAGAAAAGAGAAAAGGTATTGCGAGTGGATAGTATGTTGGAGAAGAACCCTTTTGTTGAAGCAGTACCATCTTCGAAGCAAAAGAGTTCCAAGAAGAAAAAGGAGGCTTTGAAAGCTGCAGATGCTGTAGTTCAAGACGCTCCCAAGGTGAGAAGTTGTTATAGTAAAGCTAAATTTTGTTCATTATTTTTAATATATATTGATTTTGAATTGTTTTGGTCTTAGGCTGAATCTGTCCCTGACTCTGGCATGGTTCCCTTATGGGGAGATGGAGGTATTTGTCCTTTAGAAATTTAAAGTTTTGAGGTTTCTTTCTCACTGTGTTTTATTACATGGTAATTTTGATTATCTTCATGCTCTTTCAGCTCAGCATGGCAGTCGCAAAGCTAGGCAGGTTTCTAAACAGTCCATTATTCCTGCTGTGGAAGTCGAGGCTCCTGGATGTTCATACAATCCCACATTCGAAAGTCATCAGGTGAATTTCGAAACACATTATTGTGCATATTGTCTGTCTGCTTTATTCTTTGTTCTACTCCTTATATTGTATTCTTCTTTAATGTCAATCCAGGATTCGTTGGCTCAAGCTGTTGCGGAGGAAATGCAAAAGGCCTACAAGATAGAGTTGGGACCTCAGCCAGTTCCATTAACTGTTATGGGAGAAGTGGTTGATGAAGATGATGTGAGTGTCTCTTGTTCTATTCATATATGATCTATTCTTTGATTTGCAATGCAAGTCTAGACGCTAATAAATTGTGGTTCTGAATACTTTTTACCTTTTGCTTTAATCTCATTTTTAGCGTTATTGACTAAACCATCTTTTTTGGTTAGAAATACTTTATCGAGGCAGATGATAGAAGCGATGATGATATGAATGAGGAGGATCCAGCCATTGAGAAAAGGTTAGTTTATTTTAGTATTGCTGTTGTCATAATTGCTAAAGTATTTGTCACTATGCCTTTTTGCCTTTCGGGGAAATATTGGGATTTGAGGATTACGTGAGAAGCTTGTAACTTGTAAGTAGTAAAATTAAACTTGAATTCATGGATTCAGATATCAGTTTAGCTGTAAGATACCTTTCATGATAAGCATTGGCAGAAGATCATGGTTAAGCTCATAATATATTCTTTTGGTTAAAGATGAGACTCAAATTTCTATAATGCCACACCATCTTTTGTATGTGGATGGCTTGCTTGTGGGATTTCCCAAGATCTTAAGGAGTTCATACTCTTTCTTTCCTTTCTCATTTTATCATGAACTCTTGATCTATATATTTATTGATTCTGCATGCTGCAGGACTCTCAAAACAAAGAGGGTGACTCGAGTTGAGCTAAATAAGAGAGCTAGAAGGAAAGAGGTGCAGAAAAAAGAAGCTGAAGCTAAAAAGAAACAGGAGTTTACCAAAGACATTGACAAGTACATTTAGCTTCATCTCTGATGTGGCTATCATCTATTGTTGAGGATATATTTTTTATTATCTGTTGGTTCTTTTGGATGCAGCTTGTCGGATATCTTACAAGAAATAGCCAAAGAGGAAGAGGAGAAGCAAAAGAAACATCTTCGAAAGGCCATAGCTAAACAAGAAAGACTTAAGGCATGTCCACCACGCTTGGGGAAATACAAGTACGCAACTGTTTTAATAAGTTCTCATTTGTCATCTATTTTCCAATATATGATGAGCATAATTAACTGTATAGTTGTGATTTTAATCGCAATGATCAACATTTCAGAACTTACTCTAGTATTGAAATCAAATCTTTCGCACTCTCTTTGAATTTTTTTCCATCTGAATGCTTGGTTCACCTCTTGCATCGTGTGATCCGAAGATAATGCAGTACTTTCTCAACATTTAAAGGCATTAGAAAGTTACCTGATTTATCTATATTGTTCAAATTTTCAGATTCCAGCCTGCTCCTCCACAAGTCCTCTTATCTGAAGAGCTTACTGGGTCTCTTCGCAAGCTTAAGGTCTGGTCTGTCTTTGAAAATTTTTAATTTCGAATTTTACTGTTTAAGTAATAAAAGTTGACTGAATCCATGTTTTTTTATTCTTATGTTGCATAAAGGGTTGTGCTACACTTGCAAGAGATAGATTTAAAAGTTTAGAGAAGAGAGGCCTAATTCCCCCATCAGCCAAGAGTGGAAGGTCAGTTGAATTTGATAATTTTTGTGTTTGATCAAGACCTGAAACTGATGTGACATGACATCTTATTACAATTCCAATTACACCAGCTCATGCATCCTGGTTTTCTGTTACATTCCATATTGATTTTATCCAAAATGATAATTGGAAGGACGATATCAAAGATTCCCATGTTTACTTGGAAAAGTATGGGGTTCAGTTGTTTTGTATAAATTGATCATTTACCTTGATAGCATCAACATTTTTTGGGGGCAAAATGTGGTTTTCCTTTCATTTATATCACTCTCTATTGCACAATTGACGAGTATCAATTGATGTGCATGTGGACAGGAAATAGAGATGATTTGTTTCCAAGGATGTCGACCATTCCATTTTGTGGTGAGGCAAATCAGAAGACTTTTCACCTGATGCCATTTAAAGTAAGCAAGCCGGATCCATCTGCGTTCTTTGAATGCCTCCCTGTTTTTTATGATGGTTTAAAATTAACAGATAGTTGTTTTCTATTCCTTTTTGACACCAAAGCTGTTTTGCGATATAAGAAATCCTGGAAGATTATTTAGTGATGTTTCTCAAATCAGAATTGTCATTTATGTTAGTTTTTTTGTTAGCTCTCTGAGTTAAAAGTTACATAAATTACGAGCAATTTTCTGCCATTCTATACCTTGTTGGAAATCTACTCTGCATCCCAAGAGAATTCCAGACCAAATGAGGATGTCTTGTTACTTATATAAGCAAAGATGAAATCAAATTGAAAACAGATAGTTCTTCTTCCCTTGTAACTAGGGTTGCACAGAATTCGGATTTCAATCCGATCCGGATCGGTTTTTATCCGATCCGGTTTTTTCCCATAGAAAAAAAAAACCGGTTTATAAAATAACCGGTTCGGTTTCTAACCGGTTTGGAGGGTCGGATATCCTAACCGGTGTAACCGGTTTCGGTTTTAAAAAAACCGGTTTCGGTTTTAAAAAAACCGGTTATAAAAAAACCGATTTTAATATTATTAAAATTACATCGTCATCAATTGCAACAAAGTTTACGATAATTGAAATACTTAAATACTTTCAAGTTCGATAAATTCAAATACTTAAAAACTTCAAGTTCGATAATTGAAACAAAGTTTACGATAATTGAAATAAAGTTTAAAAATAAACTATATTGCCATCTCTTTTTCATCATCTTCGCCTTCTTCGTTTGGAGGGGGTATTCCAAGTTTGACTTCTTCAATGTGTAAGTTTGCTTCCAAATCGGCATCAATTGCATCTTCTAGGGTGGTAATATGTTGCTTACGAGCCGTTCCATCCAAATAATCCTTCAAACAAATGCATACTTCCACCGACTCGGGATTTAGTCTTGATCTCCGTTGCGATATAACCATGCCACTAACAGAAAAAGCAGATTCCGAAGCTACCGTAGAAGCTTGGACGGTTAGTAAATCACGGGCTATGGCGGCTAGAATCGGAAATTGTGCTTCCTTTTCTTTCCACCAAGTCAAAATATCCAAACTTTCAAACTCTTCAAATGTCATTTTTGATAGAAAATCGCATGACATGTAATTTCTCAACTCGCTACTTGGGGTGGTAGTACGTGATCGTTTGAATTGGGAATTTACAAGAGTGTTAAAAAGATTCAAATTTATGTTACTTGGACGTCTACTAGATGATTCCGCATTCATTCTCATTTGATCGTGTATTACACTACTTGATCCGTATTTAGTTAAATAAATTGCAAACATGTCTCGAAAACATTTGTTAAAATAATTTATTTGGTTTTGGACAAAGTTGGGTTCATCATCGGTTAGATTAAAAGCAAACGCAATTTGTTCAATTAGTGTTTCAACCCCGCCAACATTTAACGTTGGGTTTAAAGCGACGGCACAAGTAAAAATGGGGGGAATCTCCTTAAAATATTTTAAAAGTTTTTCCTTCATTGCAAAGCCAATTTCTTGAAAAACTTCGGTTTCAAATTCAAAGTCATTTAGTCGGGTAGTCAACAAAAATATTTGATTAAGAACCAACGGGCTAGTAGGGTAATAAACACCGGATAAAAAAGTTGTTGCATTTTTAAAAACCTCAAGCAAATCGGTTATTTTGGCTATAGTTTCCCAACTCGAATCCGGATAAATGTTTGGGACATGACCCCTCTCGAAAAGTCGATCGTGAAATGTTTGCAATGTTACCCTTTGCCTTAAGGCAGTATGCATCATCATCCAAGTTGAGTTCCAACGAGTTGAACAATCCAAATTAGGACCTAAAGCTTTTTTATTAACGGACTTGCAAAATCATTTATAATCATTTAGTCTTTTGTTGTTGTTACAAAGAACCGATTTTATCATTGTTTTAAATTCTAATCTAATCGGCTCAATAACCTCCAAACCGGCTTGCACGGATAAATTAATTATGTGTGCAACGCAACGGGTATGAAAAAACGCACCGTCTAAAATCGGTGAAAGTAATATTTTCAATCTTGGAACCGCATTTGTATTATTCGATGCATTATCAAAGGATATAGAAAAAGCTTTATTTTTTAATTTATAAAGACAAATTACCCTTTTTAAAAGTGTAAATAAATTAGCACCGGTATGCGGCTCACCGAATAATTCAAACGCGATTGTTCTTTTCATCATTTGCCAATTATCTTGATCTAACCAATGTGACGTAACGGCTAAAAAAGAATTTTCGGTATTATGAGGGGAACTCCAAACATCACATGTAAGCGACACACCATAACGGTGTTCTTGGAATCCTAAAATCATTTTTTCCCTCGCCGTACGCCACATTTTTATAGCATCTCTTCTAAGGGTAGTACGACTTACTTGAGTATAACGTGGTTGCATTAGTTGTTGAATTGTTGTCATGAAATCTTCATCATCAAAGTGGTCGAACGACAATGCTTTTGTAATCACGAACTTTGTAAATGCTTCTCGTAATTTTTCGTTATCGTAAACAAAAACACCACCTTGCGGTGTAAGATTCGATTGATTTGGATCCGATCTTGAGCGAAGTGTCTTGCATGATTTTGTCAAATGATTCTTCAACGTTGTGTTTCCTTCCGATGCAAGCAACTTTAGACAAAGTTTACAACGCGCCTTCCTCGAGCCATTTGACATCTCACATAAATCGTAGTGATCCCAAATATCTTTGTTTCGAGTGTGTTCAATCACTCTTACGACTTCAAGGTTTCCCCCGACGGAAGATTCAGCCATGTTACTCATGATGAAAAAAAAATTACAAAAATAAGATTTGAGAGATGTTTAGGTGTTGTGTAATAAGATTTGAGAAAGTTGTAATCAACCAAATACATCCCCAACCTATTTATACATGTGTAGGGTGGTAAAATGATAATTTTTTAAAGAAAAAAAAAACGGTCACAAAATCCCCCAAACAGCTATATTAACGGCTAGTTTTTTAAACCCATACCGATTTTTTTCGGATAAAAACCGGTTTTTAACCGGTTTTTTTCAAACCGGTTTTTTATCCGGTAAAAAACCGGTCTAGGTTTTTTTCCAAACCGGTTAAAATAACCGGTTTAAAAAAATCCGATCCGGTTAAAAAAAATCGGTTTTTCCCAAATTCGGTTTCGGATATTTTTTTCGCAAAATCGGATATTCGGATTTTTTGTGCACCCCTACTTGTAACCGATTTTTTGGCGCCGTTTCTTGATTGTGTGTGCTCAACGGTAAATTTGACATGTCTTTATGTGAAGCAAGCCTCATTCAAAATAATCCTTCAATCTTAAGCTTAATTAATCACCGTAGAATTCTTCAAATAATTAATCCAAACAATTCGTTTCATGTTTTTAAAGCACATCAAAGATTCATCCTGCAACAAATGCTGGCTTTGGCTTTAAAATCTCATGCAAGCTACGTAAACCAACAGCATATATACCGAAATCTCTGGCGTAAACCTGAGATTTCTAAGAATAAAAATCATTCATTTAACTACTGATATAGCTTGATTCGTGTGAGTGTAATTTGTATATGTAAAGAACCAACAAATTGGTCACCAAGGTGTATGCCGCATTCATTGCAGTAGATATTCACCGCCGGCCCCGCCATACGACAGCGAAACCTACGGCACATTATACTATCAAAACGCACATTCACACTATATAGAATCATATCAATGAAACACTAAGATTAAAGTATAATCAATTATTGTAACTTCATATGACGCAACGAAAGGAAAGAACGATTTAAAGTAAGCAAATGTTCAAGTATTGTTGGAAGACCACATAATACATCCTACAAGATGGGAATCCGATAGGAAGCTAAAAAAACAATGATGGGAGGAGCAGGGTCAAATATGGCTGCCTATGTGGATGTGGCTCTGAAATGAACCAATGCACTAATCCAGCATGCAGCGTAATATTAAACAGAACCATGAGGGGGGATCAAATTCTTGTGGTAATGGAGTGTAGCTAGTTGGTGGGATATAGGAAGCATGGCCACAAGTGTTGCGTTAATAGCAAATGATTAGGAGGAAGGTGGTCTTTCTCATTTGGTAGCGATAGATCAGTTTTAGGGCAGGATTCACATTCACGGCCAGCAAGCTCAAGCTGTACTCTTAGACGATGAGAATGGCCAACCACACGCGCTTAATGCCCCTGTGCAGCCATGCAAACACATGAGTTTCCAAAGCGAAAAAAGTCAGAATTCTTGTGTAATCAAGTGTGGGTAGCTGGTCAGATAGTGACAAGGGACACAAGTGTTCATCAGTTAATAGCAAATGCGACCGAGTTATAGAAGTAGTATTTGGCGTAAGTCATAATCATGTACAGCAAGTGGTTGAAATATCACCAAGCAAAGCACAGTTCCCTACTAGTAACCACCAAGTAAGAGTATTATTAACCAGTTTCCCTTGATTAGAAGACGGAAGATTTAGGTTGAGGGGTTCGCCTATTCACCTTGGCTTCGTTCTGCTCCGTCTGTCCAATGGGAAAACGACACTGGAAACGAGGTGGCTTGATACAGGTGAAAAACAATTCGACAATATAAGCCTGTGAGCCCGTCATCATCAAACTTGAACGTTTACTAGAGGGCGATGGTCTTGGAAACTGCTACAAGAAAATCGCAAATTAATGCAAAGACCCCCCTAAACACAGTACAGGGACTAATAGAAGAATTTAGCCTTTGATTTTATACCAAATAGATGGGCACTTTTCTATGGGGGTAAGTAACTCGTTTAGATATCGCTGGGTTCCTCTGATATGCAATCCTTGATGATTCCCCTAAACAGACAAGAGCTAACTGATTTGATTTCCATAGGAAGTATATAGCTCATTGAATCCAGCTAAAAAGACTCCTTTCTCCGGGCTCTCTAAGGTAAGGTATTCTTAATATACGGATAGGAAAAACGCTACAGGAAATATTAATAATTTTTTAACATTTTGGGTAAAGTGTTATCTAAAACATTATTTTTTTCAACCGGAAATGTTAATATTGGACGCTATCTAAAATGTTTCACATTTCCGGTAAAATGTTATTTAAAATATTATTTTTTCTACCGAAAATATTAATATTGAGTGCTACCTAAAAGGATATTTTTTTCTACCGAAAATTATGTAGCAAAATTAACATTTCCAGTAAAAATAATGTTTTAGGTAATGCTT